GGAATTGGGCTAGGGCATTACAAATTGGTGTCAACACATTATGTTATTGATTCTTAGACTATTCTAGGCTTGTAACTCATGATCACGACCGGTGAATCAAGTAGAATCAGTTAGTCAATAAGTAGATGTTTATCAAAGTGTGCAGCTCGCATTCTGCTTTGCTAACCGATGAAATTTCATGTCCGGGGGGAATTCTAAAAGGATAAGAGGGTGTAATACCCACCATAATGTTCTAATAAATTATTTCATGAATGAGGTAAAATAATAGTTTATAAAAATCAAATATTTAAAGTTTATTTAAAGGTTACAATAAAGTCCTAAATCTTATGGGGAGAGAAATATGTAGAAAAAAAAATATGCAGATGTTGGCTATTGATGAAATACATGATTCCGGTTTATGCTTAGAATCAAAAGCATTAGATATGACAAGACTTAAACCGTGTACTCAATCTCCAATCTTCACATAAAGCCCAGCTTAGTAAGTCATTGAATCATGCATTAAAGTACATGAAATAGTAAATATGGAATAAAAATGAAAATGAAACCTAGCTCGATACTTGCATGAACTGAGTTAATGACTCAATGCAATTCACTTCTTGCAAATCTTCCTCCTCCCTGGGTTGCTTAACAATATCAAACACATTCAATTCCAATGTCATGTTACCAAATGAAATTTTCATAATTTCATTCATACAATTAATCAAAGCATTAGACCTAGCAAGGAACGGACGACCCAAAATGACTGGAATTTACACAGCAGCATGCAAAACGGGCTGGGCATCCAAAACAATAAAATCCCTTGATGTGCAATTCAAACACTGTCAATCTAGGATTAGGTAAGTGGGTTATTCACAATATGCTTCTAAATCTTTTTACAGAGAGTATCTCGTTTGATCATCTGGATTTATACTCCATTTGAGTTTGATGTGATTCTATTAGAATACTTACTGAATTGTTGGAGTATGTTAAGTAAGTTGATCAAGTAGTGTGGATTGAGGGCTAGATTGTGGCAGCCAAAAGTGCAGTGCAGTGATAATTCAAGAGATCCATGGGATTGGGTTGAGGTGTTGTATCAGGTCTATGTCTGATGTGGTGTCGCGCATGATCCTATTGACGGTTGACAACCATCTCACTTTTGAGATTTTTTTCTTTTATGCATCCTTCTCAGAAACTGCTATTAAATTATTCTGTCCCCTTGTACCATTGTGGATATCTTGTTTACTGGGCTTCCCAGCTCACCCATATTGTACCTTCAACTGCAAGTCAAAGTGGCATGTTGCATCGACTAAAGTAAATTATCATGAAGCTTGGGAAAAGAATTGGCAGATTATGGGAAAAGATTGACAACATTTGTACTGCTTACACGTTCATCCTTAAAAATTGTATACATAGTTATCAAAATCGTACAATTCGCGATTCGATACAGGTACAAAACGATACGTATCTTATATGAGAATCGTTTTAGAGTTGAATCGTATGATTCGTATTGCANGATACAGGTACAAAACGATTCGTATCTTATATGAGAATCGTTTTAGAGTTGAATCGTATGATTCGTATTGTATGAATCGCATGATTGAATCACTTTTTTTTAAAACTCAAATTTTTTGCAAAACGACATCGTTTTATCCGTTAAACAGTAAAACGACGTCATTTTGTTTGCAGAGGAACCCACACCCTAATAAAAACTCAACCTCTTTACTCGTTCTCTCTCTGACATCGTTTAAAGCTCATTTTGCTCTTTCCATTTAAACGACGTTATTATGCTAAATTGATTATTTTTAGAATGCAATAATGTTCAATATTTTATATTTTGTCTATTTAAAATATGTAGTATTATTTTTTATTTTTGTGTTGAATCATACGATACACGATTCGATNTTTAAACGACGTTATTATGCTAAATTGATTATTTTTAGAATGCAATAATGTTCAATATTTTATATTTTGTCTATTTAAAATATGTAGTATTATTTTTTATTTTTGTGTTGAATCATACAATACACGATTCGATACGATTCACGATTCTCAAATTTAGGATTCCGATTCACGATACGAATCGCAATTTGACAACTATGATTATATAGACTACAATTTTAGAAGGCATATCTTACACGTTTCTACAATTGAGGTGGTCTAACACTTTGAATGGCATGGAATTTGGTCAAGGTGTTACAGGTCATCCTTGTAGTTATACTTATTTTGTACAATCATCTATCTTCCACAGGTGGTACCTACTATTGTAGTACAGGAATAACTACTTATTTTATCTAATATTCTATCTTCTAGAATGCTTATGGTTTGAGAGACAATTCTGGTATTAAAGCCATTGAACCCTAGCTTCACTCTCCAACATACATAGGTTCAAGGACAATGAAAGAAGCCAGAGATGGTGACTAAGTTTCCGCGATGAAAAAAGTGCAGGAGATGCGAGGCAATAGGATGATTAGAATCTGCTTCTGGTGAATGTGAGCATGAGCTGCAAAGAAATCATAACGAGAAGACAATGAATTGGCATGGCAACGTCGAAGTGGCGTATCAAAGTTTTATAAGGTGACTAAAACTAATAATCATCATGGTGTAAATGACGAAAGACCATAAGGAGTTCTTTGACAATGAAATTCTTTCATTCTCATTAAAAGTATGTATCACCCATGTGAATTTGACATCCGAGTACGAAATTAAGGTAGTTCAGGGTTAGGAAGATTTATTTAGTTAAACTTGCGACTGAACCTACAAGAGGTGAAAGCTATTTGAGGATTATCCTGTCGCGGAGGATGAAACACCATAATCATCATTCGATAATTTAGTCAATGACAAGGATTTTCGAGAGATCCCATTGATCATGTTTCTTTACCTGTTTCTTGGTTACTATTAAGAGTTCACTTGAGTCTATACTTTATTATTTTCATCATCAGGGCATTATTATTACTCATTTGCCATCAATTTCTTCTCCCTCCAAATATGTCATGCTGAAATTAAATGGAAATGCTTAAGCTATTCTTGAATGGGGACCTAATGCATATCTGCTTGATTTTCCATTGAATTTTTATAGTACTCCAGTTTCTATTTGGAGAACATGTTACTTTAACAAGGCACTCTAGAGCCTCCTATTTTACAAGTAGGTGTTTCTAAAGTTGGAGTTGCTTCTTCGTCAGCACTATCTCCGTTCTTATCTATCCACTTCCACCACATACTCCGCGTCATATAAAGGATGTGTTAGAAGACCAGATTTTTAGTGTTTTAGATAGAAATTGTCACCTTTATCCTGCTCGATGGACATTATTGATGCTTCTATTGAGGAAGAGTTCTACCACCATCATTCTGCTCTCTTGGAGTACTTTAGCTTTGATGACTATTTGGGGTAGAGTTTTTCTCAACCATGTGAGAATGATGGAGATTGTGTTGGAGTTAAATAAATAGTATAGATTTATTTATTAGTTTATTTGAAGGTGGTAGTATTCAGTGGCGACTAGGAATATGATCTAGGGCGAACACACTTTAACTACAAGTTTTACTTTGTCCTCTAATAGATTATAATGTGATATATTTATGTGTTTTTTTACATCATATTTAATACATAAAGATTCATTAGACATGAAAGGGCCTAAAACCCATATATATATTCTATACAAACAAAAAATTACTAAAATGAGGTTAATTATAACTTTTTACAATAAAAATGAGGCTAATTACAACCATTTACAATTGACCTCGACGAGTCTTCATACTTTGAGAGCATTCGATGATAATTTCACTATCAATGTCATCGAAAATGCCTTTCTCTATATAGGTAATCAAACTATCTGTTATCCATTGAACACCCATTCGATTATGTAACTTAAACTTCACAATCTTCATCGCAAAAAATGCTCTCTCAACGGAGGCACTTGATGTAGCGAGAAGAGAAAATGAAATGCTTCCTTCTTCTCTTGATCTCCAAGTCTCCAACGTGATGTTTTTGGTGCAAAGGTGCAAGTTGAGTCGTTCCTTTCTTTTCCACTTTGCTCGTCTTTGGAAAGAAGATGACAAAGGACAAAGGAGTGTGTCAAGGGCTTTTATGACTCAACATTTTTTTTTTCAATTTATTGACTTCAAGAGATTTGTTATGGCCTTATGGGATTGGTTCTTTGACCCAATTAATTTTATTTTATCTAGCTCATTAGGGTGGGCCTAATTGAAATTATCCAAAAAATATATATAAAACATATATAGGTAAAAAATGGCCCCTACCTCCCTCCGCCACCGGCAGTATTTATCTTTAGTGTAGGGTTACATTAGTAATCTTTGATTTTAGGGTTTTTGGTACCCCATAAAATGGGACTAATGTATTGGTATTAGGGAGACTTGGATTATTGATCATTTTTGAGAATTTTTTTCTCCTTAGTTTCTCTTTCTCATCTCCTTCTTAGTTCTTCTTCTCATCCTCCTCTTCTATTCTCATCTACTTCTTAGTTCTTCTTAGTCTACATCATTTGCTCTATACCAGTTGATCCAAGACAAAAAGGAAATCTGATCAAGAGAAAATAAAAAGGAGAAAGAATGAGAAGGGGAGAAAAATGCTACAAAACCAAAGAGCAAAATTCAAGAAGAGAGGAAAAAACCAATTCAATATTAATAGTGAATTCTCGATAGCAACTCTATCGTCAAGTCTCCAAAATCCATTATATAATGCCTATCTATAGGCAGCCTAAAATAGCCTGATAGACAAATACAAAAATATTAAAATAATAATGTTTAAATTGCTAAGTTAATAAAAGAAACCCTTAATACCCTAAGCTATAAAATAACACTAGAATAAATTCTTAAGCCTTAATCTTCAATCCAACCTGTTTCTCCAATCCTTTTTCGTTCCTTATCACGACCACACGTTTTCCAGCATCCAAAATAATTTAACTCCAAAAGAGTCTCATCGAAAGAGAAAAAAACAATAAAGAGAAAAATAATTTTACTCCCATTCCACGAAAAGATATGTTATCCCAGCTGCTATAAACTTCATTCTAGAGGATACAAGTGCAACACATACCTTGAGCAGACATATTGTCAACATCTTTGTCCATTTCACCAGCTCGACGAACTGCATCTTTACACTTGTCTAAAGCAGCTTCTTCATTCACATTTGCATCATGAACCAAGTGAAATGCAGTTACTATTCTCTCCGGTATAGCGCCAACAGCCAATTTCTAAAGTTACAATGGCATGATCCCAAATCAAATATACCGATATTTCAACCAAAGTAAAATGAAAAAAAAAAGGGACAAGTAAACAATATCATGAACTGATACAAAATTCAGTCCAAACTTACAATTCTTAATGAGTGTGCATCCCTCTTCACTATCTTGATGGGATTTGAATTCTTTCCATTACTAACCAGCAGAGGAGGGGGATTCTTACCCAGCATCTCATCTTTAAGGTTCTGACCACGAGATCCAAAAACTTTCCTCTCTTCCCATATGTCAACCTGACCAATTTTCCCACCCCAATCCCACCCCAAAAATGGATAAGTAGAAATGCACTGGAAATTTTGAAAGCCAAAAAGAAAAAATAACAATATTCTAAAATTTGACAGGTCAAAAATGAGAAGATGTAATATAAAAGCAGTATACAGAAAGAAGACGCCAAGTAAATACATTGATACTTCTCTGTGTCGGCACTTACTCACTCTCGGGCATCACTACATGGCACACAATAAGATCTCAACTAATGCGATGAAACAATTGTTCAAAGGATAAGATCCAAGAGGACCTTGCCGCAAAAGCTCGAAATCATTATCATACTTCAACTCATCCTTATAGCAGCCATGTTAGTTCATATTCCACATTGTATCTTGTCACGACCATATAAAAATTAATTGCTAGCACATTAATTATGGTTCTATATAATAAATTTATTTTTTAAAATTTCAAATAAATAAATAGACCATAAATATGGATTTCTTATGGGTCCGTTTGTTTAGCAAGATAATGCTAGAAAATACAAGAAAGAGAAAATTTTAAAATTTTACATGTGTTTGTTTCACATGAAATAGAAAATGATAGAAAAAGTATTTTTCTTCTATGCTTAAATTTTCTCATATTTAACTAACTTTTTTTTCTTGCAAAAAACACAAGAAAAAGTAAGAAAGTAGTGTTCAATGACCTAACTTCTCATATTACCCTTATTTTTTAAAAAAATTTCAATTATTTATCAATTTTAAAAAACTTTATACAAATTAGAAAAACCATATAATTTGGTCTAGAGAACAGGGTTCGACTAGATTCTTGTCTCTAAATTATATTAGGAGCCAATTTTTTAAAAATTTGAATAATAAAAATATTTTTTCTTCTTTAGACTGAGTTAAAATAATTAAAGATAATTTAGACAATTAGAAAATATTTCTTGTAACTTTCATTTCTCTCAAACAATGGAAAGAAATTATTTTTAAATTTTCTTAAAAGTTTTTCATGCTAACCAAATGTATGCATAAAAATATATTTTCTTTCACTTTCTTTTCTTTTGCTTCACTTTCTATCTCTTTCATTTTTCATAATTTTTTTCTTCCTAACCAAACGGATCATATGTGAAAATAAAACGAATGACTATAATATAGGTCGTATTTCGTGTTGAAATAAAAATATCATAATATCTAATTCGTATAATGAATGAATAATATGTGTTATATATATATATATATATATATATATATGTTTATATTATACAAGTGTGAAATGGGTGGGGGATGGTTTGGTGTTCAAGTGACAAGTGTGTCTATAAAAAAATATGGAGGAAGCATGGACATTTGTCCACGTGAAGTAAGCAATTTGATGTCACCTAAGTGATGTTGGGGAGAATTTTGGCTAGAAATAGCCATGACCAGTGACCATTCAGACAACACAAGAAAGGAGAGGAGGGGGCAGAAAGAGGAAGGACGAGAAAGAAATGAAGCAAATAAAAAGAAAAACTTACATGATTTTGGGGTTAAAAATTGGACAGTGATTTTACTTCAAATCACTACTAAAGTTAAGCATTTAATTCGTGGTATTTCGAATTTCATATCTATTGGAGTTATTGATAAATTTGAGATACGGGGTAATATATAATATGCTCCTGTTTGTAAATCTCTTTGCAAAGAGTGTTCTATTGTTTATCTCAAAGTTCGTATTCCTATTTGTTATTTCTGATTGATATGAAATTCTGTGTGTTTTATTTGATTTGACCTGTATTTTGGGCTAAATAGTTTGGAATTAATTGGTATATATACGAAGTGTACTTGGAGCATAGTTAGTGAAATGTAATTGTAACCCTACGGGGTGTCATTATGATTATAGCCCTATGGAGTGTGATTGGTTAGTATGAGTATGAATTTATATGTCCAAGTATCACTTGTCATGTCACCAAGAGGAACTAAGTATGAAACTATATTTGATAGCAGTTGAGCTACGTGACATGTCCAATTTGATTGACGATTTGTTCTTGTATCCTATCATTTGGTATTTGATTATTCGTATATTTGTTTATCGTTGAACATATTATTTCCTGTCATATTCTATGAAGCACAGACACTCTCGAGAAAGTAGCATATCTATATCGGATACTGACACTTTTTGAACACGTGTCCATAATTAAATAAAAAAAAAATAATTTCGGACAAAGACGTGTCCAACACTTCTTTAGAATGTGTCTACTATTAAACAACAAACATATGTTGAAATGTTATTAACAAAGTTTAAAATTTTAAAAACATATAATTACTAATACTAGACATGTTAAAATTGTACTCCAAATATAATAATAAAAACAAAAGATGAATAAAAGTTTAAAAAAAAGAAGATTCGAGAAAATATGAGCAATTATTTAAATTATATATTAGGTACACATTGTCTATAAAAAAAATGATGAATATTGATTACTATGATGAAACTTTAGTCTAAAAATTCACACAGATGACTACACATAAGATTTACTTATCATAAAATACCAAATCTTTTATGAATTGCATATCATTATCACTATATTTGTGATAAATTATATAATATTATATAAAATATATATTTTTTTATAATGTATCCCCCAAGTGTTTCGTGTCCTACTTTTTTTAGAAGTGTCGTGTGTGCGTGTCCGTATCGTGTCGTATCTGTGTCTCGTGTCCATATCCATGTCCGTGCTTCTTAGGTCATATTGTATACTTCCCCACTTTTAACATTTTTTAGGATAATCTCAAAAGGAATGATCAGAGTTGATATTTGAGGAATCGAAGATGAACAAATCTCGATATAATTTTTATTAAATTGAGATTAACAGTTTTATTGGTATTTAGAGATCAAATTTGCAATTATAATTTTTATTGGGATAAATAGAGTTATGACCCTTGTATTTGAAGATATTTGTGATTTATTATGGTCAATCTATTAAATACCGCATCTAAGAAATAGGGTGTTACATATGTACAACCCAATTTCTGTGACTACCAAGCGGTTTACCATCATCACAACCTTGCATCAGATATTACAAATGGAAACTTATGACTGCTTGAAGTGTATCCTTAAGGACCTTAACATGAGAAAATTCAGGACCAAATCTTTACACATTTTCTTCTAATTGGACAACCTATAAAATTAGGAAGTGATCATGTCGCAACCTAACGTAGTCTTAACTATTAATGAACTATGGCGAAAACTGTTCCAGCATGAAAACCAGCTAAAGGGTTGTATCCTAGATCTCTAAAACCCCAACGACCATCCATCTTGATTCTTCTATTCAACCTCACACACAGAAGGAGATCTAGCTTAGAGTTCAACCAAACTCGCTTTGAAGAAATGTGAATTCCAAATATCTTAAGAGAGAAGATTGCTTGAAGAGCTTAAACGATTTATTACGGTCGATGCGTTCAAATGAAGCTATTCATAACTTCAATGGAACTCCAGAGGAGATATTTGCAATAGAAAAGGGTGTCTAACTATGGTATTGACTGAGGTATAACACTTGAGTACTCGTAAATCAACTTTGAGTTTAGTGGATTAGGCTATGTGAACTGGGAGTGGTGCCTCAATTTTTCCCGAGTTGGATTTCCGCATCAATAAATTGCTTGTGTTGTAAATGCCTCTTTATTGCTTTTACTTTACATACACATGCGCACTATGTGTTCGATTGAATGATTGTTTAACTTTCTATTCATCGTTAAGTGTTTTGTGAACGTTTGGCTTGTTGATGGGTTCATTGTTGTGGTGAAGTTGATTATAATTTAATCAAATGACAAATATTTGCATCAATTCAAATAACAAGTTGTTTGGGTTGTTGATAAAAGTGGTTCACACACTTAATTGCTTAATTAATTTATGAATTGGTAATTGTAGTCAATAGGTTTAAAATTGATGGTTGTCCCAACGTAATTTTGATACACCTATTCAGCCCTCACTCTAGGTTGTGTCTAGCAATTTCACGTGTATAATCGTGAGGGAAAATCCACTTTGAATCTCCCCCTCTTCCGAATCCAATCAGCCAAGCCACTCCACCTTTTTCCATCATCTCCTTCGTGAACAAAAACAATTTTCCTGTCATTACTTTGGATTTAATCACCCTTAAAAAATCACCTTTTTGTAGCAAATCAACTCAACCCACACAACATAAGCATCACCTCAAAACTTCTAGATAAGGCAAGCTTACCCCCCATTTCAGAGGTTCCTATTCTTTCAACCAACCAAAATGCACAGTCGAGCTGCACTGAAAAGAAAAACATTCTCTCCTATTCCTTTCAATGATCCGAATGGATTAACCATTAGATTTTTCATCAACTTCCACCATTATAGTTTTCCTCTCAATCTTTAACTTAATCGTTGACCTGCAGTTGCCAAACGATTCTGATAAAAAGTTCCAAACATGTCATGATTACGGTTAAAAAGGGACAGCAAGTAACCTTCCAAAAAGTATTATTACAAAACAATACTCTGATATCCAAAATGAGTTTCAAATGGGGCAAGGTTTGGAACATTCAAGACTTCGAAAGATTACAACAAAAACAGATGTACCTAAATTTTGCAAAAAAAATGGCTTAGGATAGATATGTCTGGTTAAATTGGGATTTTGATGTAGTCATTAGGGTTTATGAGGCATGGTTAAGCCGACTAAACTGTAACTTTCTAAAATAGTTTCTATTTTTTCCTTTTTTATAAAGCAACTTTTAAAAATAGTTAATTAACTAACCAGGTTAGGAAAATAATTAAATAGAATTGCAGTACTACATTGCAAAAAAGTTAATATAAGATTGAATTCAAGAATTAGGGAGAATAATTGGTAGAAACATTAAAAGAAAGAGCAGAGGGAGAAGAAAGGAATGAAACTATCACATTCTCACGAGCCAATCTCCAAAACCGGTTCGCCATCTTTGAAAGACATGATTGCGTTGCTTTTCCAAATGCTAGGACTAATATTAAGTTGATCATAATCATCATTTTAAGTCTGAGAGACTGGGAAAACAACTGAAGAAGCCATTATCAAAAGAGACGGGAAGAAAGAAAGAGAGAGAAGCTTTAAAGAAAGAAATTGTTCACCATTATTATAGAGTNAAGTTGATCATAATCATCATTTTAAGTCTGAGAGACTGGGAAAACAACTGAAGAAGTCATTATCAAAAGAGACGGGAAGAAAGAAAGAGAGAGAAGCTTTAAAGAAAGAAATTGTTCACCATTATTATAGAGTCAAACATTACCACACTCCGACAAACAATACCTGACTACAGCGGCATTAAAAGCAGTTGCAACAAAACCTTTTGAAATGTGGTTGCAATAGCTAAAAATCTTTTCTAAAACTAAATATGATTATATCAAAACTAGAAGGCTTCTTGATTAGTTCAGGTCTCTAGCTTAGTTTTTGGCTTCCAACCAAAAATTGCCACATCTAACCAAGTACTACCCACCTTTATTTTCCTCCATGAAATACTCAATTTCAACAAATTAACATTTGGACCAAGAAAGCTATATTAGCAGATAACAAAAAAATGTGAAAGACGGCCTAAATTTTAATTTAAGAAACAACAAAAAAAGGTCTAATTAGACAATGGGAACATACTACTGCTTGATGCAAGAGAGGGCTTTCGCATGCATGAATTCTCAATGTTTTAATAACCCTTAACAATTGTCGTTCTCCATATATTTGTGCAAAAAACAGAATAGTGAAAAAGAATTGTCGTTCTGTTCCCAAAACCAATGAAGGGGAAAAGAGAAGGCAACAACAGGTCAGTAAAAGGCCAGACATAGGGATGACAGCAGAGTCCAAATTATCAGTAATTATCCTTCTGGAGGAAATTTGGTGGATATAAATGCATGCATGTACACGTATATACCCATTATACCCATTTTATTTTAGCACAGAGAATAACTTCCACTCTCTCAATTTTCTACACAGTGGTATACCGCAAAGGATAAACATTCTTCGTGGATAAGACATTACCAGTCTGGAGGCTGCTTTCTTTCCATTTTCATCACCATTTTCATAAACATGCTTGAGAGATGCAGGAAGGACCTTCCAAAATTCATTCACAAACTCACTGCCTTTTCGCCTACTATTTTGCAAAATGTCATTGGCCAAATACAAAAATGAAACTCGCTGCTCTCGCTGTGCAGATTTGAACAACTTATCCCATGTTTCGACTATTTGTTTGGCTTTCTTCCGGTAAGAAATGCACCAACGGGATAACGCTAATCAAATGTCAAGAAATTATACCATAACATAACAATCAGATAATCATGAAGAAAATCCACATACACAGAAATAAATAAAACAAAGTAGAAAAGTTTGGCTGCATATCATATTTAGAGCATGACCAAAGATCCGCCGCCAAGGAAAAGAAAATGTGTAGATAACGCTTTCTTCCAAGATGTCCTCTTTAAGTTAATTTCAGTAACTTCACTGGTTGTCAGTATTTCAAAACGTCGTTAAAAAAGAGAACTTATGTAAAAAATGAATCTGTATAATCACATCTAAAACTTTAATTGAGGATAGTATTATGATGTTTGCCAACAAACTCTTCTCCAGTGGAAAATAAGTACCACCAAATCCATTATTATTAAAGAACAAATGAACATTACCAATAACTTCCGTTGGACATGATTTTGGATTTTACACATACTTAGAAAGAAATTGTTGAAACAGCAGAAAGAGAAGGCTACTCAAGTACTATTGCCATGGGGGATCACAGTACACACCAACTGCAAAAAAGATCTCAAAACACAATCCTACAGTACATAAGTTCAATTAGAAACTTGAAAATATTTTATAGTTCTATTCCTACAATATACTACAGTTAATATGGTCATTTTCACAGCAGTTTGCAGAGTTACAAATAAAGGTAAAAACTTAATCTTTGGCATCATATGCACAACATGACTTCGCTCATTTTCAAAACCCACAACCAAACAGTTGATAGCCCAAGCATTTTACCCTTGCCTAGGTTGCCCTAGGCAATGGCCACTTATGCAAAATTTCAGAGCTCATGGCTTATTTTTGTGTAAAAGGAAGGATACATTCTATGCTCTGTTGAGAACTGTTGAGTTTAGACAGCTTGTCAGCCAATATCTGTCCACCAAAAATGTCGTCACTCATCCTGCTGTTGATGGTGTAATTATGCTTAAAAGCCTCTGCAACAGTTCTATAAGCAAAAAATTTTGTCATCATGAGATTCACAAAGTGATTCAAGCATTATTAACAAGCAAGGGAAGCACAAAAAGCATCTGAAAACATTTTGTTTAAACACAGAGGTAGATGATGAAATGAAGTAGAGAAGGATAGAATATATGTATATGGCCCTTATTAGAGGTGAAATTATGTGGGAAATTCATTGCCTCCATACTGCTGACAGTAGATACACAACCACTACAAACTTTGGTGTATAGGGTTCATGTATTGATCTAGAAAAGATGCCCACGTCAAATAAATGTAGACATGCATACAGAACTGCCTTAGATTTCTTCACATTGCTCCTCTAGAAGAAATTATTACTGCCAGTGGCTTGAGTTTGTTACCAAACAACATGGAATCATAAAAATTAGATTACCACCACATAAATCTGGATTTCAAGGCATCCATACAAATCCTACAATTAAATTAATCTAAAAGATAGAAAAATGGCATCCACCCTGCTAAAATCTCTTTTTATTTTTGCTTTTCATCTCAGCTTATAATATGAGAAATGAATCAACACATCAAAACTTCCCAAACTCACAAAAGTGGAATCCAGCAAGCCTAAGCCATCAGTGGAGAACCCCAAATTACAACCCAACAAAAAACAAAAGCTTAATCAATAAATCAAATAAACAAACCTGCCTAAAAGTATGCACAGCCAACCAAAACATAAATTTGAGCATGTATGTCGTATATTACAAAGCCCGGCTAATTAAACCAAAAATCCAACTACATCGACAAATTTGAGGACTGGATCTATGAAGTATGGAATATTATTTTTGATAAAAACATTTAAATGAAGAAAATAACCAAGCACGAAGCAACAGGCAAGACCTATAAATCCAAAACAGCTTGACATGCTTGGGGTGGGAATGGTGGGGGGCGGATACACGTCATGCAACTTGTCAACATAAAGTCATCTCCAATAGGATTGGAAACTATGCCAATGAGGAGGCACCTGGGCCTCTTACAGTACCCGGCAAACCCTCCTAAAAATGCAGGCATATGTTAGATGTGTCATGTAAATACTAGGACGAATCCTGACAAAAGGCCTGAAGCAGGATGATTAGAACTTGAGGCATGCTTTCATTAAAATGGGCTGTTGGACTTGACCAGCTCTATAACATTAAAATTTGAAGACCTAAATTGAATCAATCTAAAAGAATGATAATAAAGAGAAATAATAGAGGAAGAACCAGCTGAATGCTCTCATCTTACACCCCACTCATATTTCAACCTTGATAAGTTACACAGTTCGAAGGAAATGAGTTGGAATCACATGAATTGAAATAATACTTGGGATTAAATCTAAAAGAAATCCTTAATAAGCCAGTAAAAATACACTAAGAGGTGCAAACAAGGGCGCACAATCAGAAAACATAACTACCAGTAGATACATAACCAGAAACCCATGACATTCTCATAGATGAGGACCAAAAAAAAATTGTGACCAGGGTCTTTTGACAATAAGGGCTTGTAATTAGTTTTCTCAACGCCTGTCAGTGGAGGCCTGCACAATGTGGAGTCCAATGGTTCAAACATTAGCCCCATCAATATGGATTGATAATAGATTTTCGCGAAGGCACATCTACTCAAATATAACCATTGTAGGTTGGAATGCGAGAGAAATTAGGAAAGAGAGGAGATGCAAGGAAATTTTGATTATGGCAAGTAGGGATATTGTGATATTGCTGGAAACTAAATTAGAAAGAATAGACAGAAATTTTACTAGGGGTAATGAGGGAAGTTAGGCATAAGGAATATGCTTCCTTGCCTTCTTCTAGGAGGTCAAGAGTGTGCTAATAATTTGGGGAGAAAAAGTTGTGAGAGGTTTGGAACTGGTTGTTCGAAGTTTCCCTATTGATACGTTTCGAAAGTTTGAGTGATTGCAACGGTGGCTAACAATAGTGTATGGGCCAAATAGACTATTTTTAGGAGGTTCTTGTGAGAGGAATTAGCTAGTCGATGCAGCTTCTATAGTCCTAATTGCTGTCTGAGAGTGATTTTATTGCTATCACAATTGCATCAGAGAGATTGAATGAGAGCAAGGTTACTAGAAGTCTAGAAGCATTAGATATCTTGATATTTTCATGCAGAAGTGCATATTAATAGATCCACTTTCATCAAATGCTTGATTGACATGGTCTAACCTACAGAAAATTTGATGAACATTAAACTGGACAGATTTCTACTTTCTGGTTAGTGGGAGGATTTGTGTCCAAGTGTTATAGACAAGAAGCTTTATCTGGAGTAGTGTCCAATCATTGTCCAATTGTTTTCAAGCGTCGTCCATTTAGGTGGGAACCTATACCTTTTAGTTTTAAAAATACGGGGCAAGACCATAATGATTTTAAATGGTAATTTGAGAAATAAAAAATAAATATAGTCTACAGGGATTGGAAGGATTTAATTTGATCAAACAGATTAAGAAGATCAAAAACGAACTGAAAACATGGAGAAAGGCGTGTTTGGAGATGTTAGAGATATCTAGAATATTTGAGTAAGAGTTTCATAATTGGATGGGATTGAAATTAATGGTGGTTTGAGGATACACTTAGAAAGCAGAGGATTGAAAGTAAGATAAATTTGATGAACAAGTTTTCAAAAATGAGATATGTTGGAAGGAGAATGTGAAGGTTAAGTGACTAAAAAAATGAGACAAAAATTCCAAGTAGCTTCATAGAGTTGCAAATGGAATTTGGAAGCTGGAAATTGAGGGGTTTTAAATAAACAAACTCAAACTGTCGGTAACATTTTTTATTACTTCTCTAGATGGGTCCGATATGTCAACTTATGAAGATTGTGGGGTATGATAAAAATATGATCTAATGAAAGTGTTTGTGGGTATGAAAGAGATTGTGAACAGGATAATTAATGCTACTTTTATATGTCTCATCTCTAAAAAAATGAATTCTTTAAGATTATTGTTATCAGACCAATTAGCTTGGTTACATCATTGAAATAAATTGGGGAAGTGTTGTCTAGAAGATTAAGACAGGTTTCATGCAATATAATTTCAGCTACCCAAAGTGATTTTGTGAAGGGTTGATAAATCCCTTATATGGTCTTAGTGGCTAATGAGAAAGAATATAGGTCAAGCAAAGGAAGGAATCATTTAGGAAGTTTATTTTAAGAAAACTTACGATCACATGGATTGGAGATGCTTGGGTCTAGTTCTAGAAATCAAGTGTTTTGGGAGCAAATGGAGAAGGTGGATATATGGTTGTTTGTCTTCGACTAAATATTTGCTATTTTTAATAGAAAATCAGAACTACTTTAGTGCTTCTAACTTGGCCAATGTGATCCTTTATTACGCTTTTTATTTACAATAGGAGTTAATGTATTGAGCAGATTGGTGTAGAGGTATAGATATTGATCTAGTTGAGAAATTCGTGGTTGGAAGGGATAGGTATTATATTTATCTGGGATGAGCAAAAAATATTTAATTTGAAGGTTATTTGTAATTTTTGGTCTGAAGGTTTAAAAGGAAAGATTAAGTCATCAGAATTAATGTGTCGCATGATAAGCTTCATAGGTAGGTGGGTATTTTGGGTTGCACTTGGGGAAGATGGTCCATAAACAATGTAGACCTCCCCTTAGCAAGAAAGGCTAAATCTGAAGGATTTTAGCTGTAGGGAAACCCTCCCCCCCCCCTCCCTTTTTTCTTTGGTGAAGTGGGAACTTGTGTCTTGGCCAAGGAATAAACAAGCTCTTGCTTTGGGCATCATTATTGCTAGGAACATTGACTTACTGGGGAAGTGATTATCAAGATTTCCTCTTAACGTGAATCTTTGTGACATAGTATAATTAAAAGTATGGTATCTCATGTGGTTGATAGGGAAAATGCTCAGAGCCCATGAAAAGCTATTTCTCGAGGATTGTTTGACTTGACTCAACATACCAGATTCGTTGATAGAAATGAGAATTATGTTTGTTTCTAGGACAATGAGCAGAGGAGTGGGAGAACTTTTTCAATACTGGTTCCTCGAGTTGTGTTGTTAAACCCATGCTCATAGTCATAATGCCACTATTGCTTCTATGGCATGCTCATCTTCTTTAACCATTACTTCGGACTTTAACTTGTGCAGATATCTTAATATCAGGGAGGTTGAGTTGCATCCCTTGCTTCTTCAAAAAGATGGGTTGATTTTAAGATAACCAATTTCTGGTACAATGGTGTTTGATTTTAAGATAATCATGGGTAGAAGGATGTGTAACAAAAGTGTGGTACTAGCAATTTTCTTGGTCTATGGTTAGAGAGTAATACAATAATTTTTACAGATAAGTTCCAGGAAAAAATTTAGTTGTGGAAAAGAATTAGATTAGGCTTCTACTTGGTGTTTGTGAGAGGTAATCTTTTCGCTTGTTTTCTCCTTTTCTTGAGCTTTAGGATGACTACACATCTTCATGTATCAACTATGGCTTATGACAAAATTAATCTAAATCTTGGATGAACGTTAATATCAGATATTTCTGGTAACAGTGAAAAGGCTTTCATCATGTACCCAAAGGAATAAACACATTTTGGTATGCCAAGTTCAGATTATACAACATACTCTGCATAAAAATAGGTCCTTCCATAAATCTTTCGTACTTATCTTCCATTACCTACAAGTTTTTAAATCTTTGATATAGGTCTTTCTCACAAAATTGTCATGGGCTTAGTAAGACACGCAGCTTCCAATGCATAACTAGTGATGATTTCAATATCAGGACATAGCATCTTTTTTTAACTGTAAAAATCAGCACATCCAACTAAGCACCCAAGACTCCTAAGCAACCGACAAAAGGATCCAGCATCACCGGCTAAACAGTATATTCAAAAAAGCATGGGCTTTAAGCCCTACATATTAAAAAGGCCCCAAATTTTAGAGTTCAATAATTACATATAGATCAATGATTAAAACTCATTATAATTTAGCTTGACAAAAAATACTCCTGAAACTCTCATCATATGATTTCAATTTCAGAAAAACAAAAGGAATTAAGACTCA